CAGTGGGGTCTAGGGCTGGGGAGGGGTCTCATTGCGCTGGGGGGGTGGGGGAATGCAGTGCTACACGGAATGAAGGGCTACACGGCACTGGAGCCAGGGGCGGGGCCACAGCCTGGGAGCTGCCTGGGCTTGCCAAGAGCAGCTGGTGCCGGTCTTAAATATGAAATTATCGTTATCTAAATGATCACATTTCCTAAAAAGCTACCGTGCACTGCAAAGATATGCAAATAAGCATGCATGTAGGCCCCCGTGTTTACGGTGTATGGTGCTCTGCCATTGGCAGCGAGTGAGAGCTGGGTCATCACAGTTGAAGCCCATCTTTATTTCGAGGCGAGCCATTGTGCAATACTGACGGTGAATCCAAAAGTCAGCTCAGTCCCGAGAATGACTCAGGTTTTGTGGACTGCATGAGCTGCCTCCAAAAATGATTGGACTTTTTGGACACTTTTACTAGTGCAACGGTTGAAATGATTGTGCAAATACGATAATTTTTGTATGCCCAGCAGTGCTGCCTGGGAGTCACTCGGGGCATAAGGAGGGGTGGCCCCCAGCCCCCACACAGCCCAGACACCCCCCCACCACCACCACACACACACACACTTCAAACGCCCGCCTAGAGAACCCGCTGTCCCTGCAAAGGTGCTGCCCAGTGGGCTCTGGGTGGTCCTGGCTGCCTGCACTGCCCTCAAACTGCTGGGAGCTTTGCTGTGCCCATGGATGCCAGCCCTGATGTGGGCACAGTATGTGGGTCCCTGCCCGGGGCTGGCCTGCAGGCTGAGGGGGACAGGAGAGGTACCAGGACCTCAGCAGGAATGAACCGAGATCCTTGGAGGTGCCCGTGCCCCTGCCCCTGGCAGTCGGCACGCTGCCTTTTCCCTGGGGGGGCCATCGGCAGCTCTCCCCTGAGTGGTGAGTGACCCCGTGCTCCCGCTGCAGGACGGTGGAAGCCCTGCTGAAGCAGGGCGCGGACCCCAACCTCGTGCTGCCCGAGGGCATCGCTGCCGTGCACCTGGCCGCGGGCAAGGAGCGGGAGAGCGGCGTGCGCTGCCTGCAGCTCGTCCTGCAGTATGGTGGGGACCCTAACGCCAGGTGAGGCGGGGGCAGGGCCGTGCCCCCTCTGCAACGCGGCTGCGGTGGCCACTGGGATTGGGGTGGTGGCGAACTGGGAGTGCGAGGCTCTGAGTGAAACGGGGGAGAGTCCTGCCCCCTCATGTTACTGTCTTGACCTGGCCGTCCTTTGCTCCCTAGAAATAGTTGCCTTTTTTGCCCAGGCAGCTTCCCAGCGTCTGTCTTTGCTATGCACCCCTGGGTCCGAATCCACGTGTGGGTGTGTAGGCATTCATCTCGTGCAAGACCCGCCCGTGGAGCCATGTCCCGCCCGGGTCAGAGAGCTTTGCAGTGCGGGTGCGGTGGCAGCGTTAATAGCTGCTCCCCTGCTGCCCTGGTTCTGGATCCATGGGGTGCCCTGGCAGGCCGGATGCCAGGGCCCTGCGTGCTAGATTGAGCTGGCGCGTGGGGCTCGACCCCGTGGGCTGACTTAGCTCAGGATCCAGCCCACGGACCAGCCCTGCGCCATGCATCTGAAAGGGTGGGCGCCACTGGTCTGTGGCACGTTAGACGGCACCGGAAGCCTGAGCCAGGTGCTGCACGTTCCAGGTCTGCTGAGGAGCTCACACCCTTGCACGTAGCGGCCTCCTGGGGATGTTACAAGTGCTTGAAGCTGCTGCTGAGGAAAGGAGGGGACCCTGACCTCGAAGACCAGGTGAGCGCCAGGCACCCGCAACCCCAGGAACTGCCGCTGGGGCTGTGGTGGATGCCCTGTCACGGCACGCTAGTCCAGACTAGGTCCCTCTGAAAGCCAGGCTGCGGCCCCTGCCGGGTGCGCCTAGATGGTGGGGCCCTGAGTAAAGGGATAGGACAGGTCCCAGCTGGCTTGGAAAATCTGTCACCTGCATAAAAGGGGAGTCTCCTTCCAGCCTTAGGCTGGGCTGGAGCAGCTGTGAGCAGGCCCCTTGTTCCCAGGGCATCCCAGAGGTGCAGGGCAGGCGTGGGGCTCGGAGCCTCTTACGGTCGGTGCCTTCTGTTGCCAGGATGGAAGCCGAGCCATCGACTTGGCCATGGAGCAGGGCAACACCATGTGTGTGCAAATCCTGCAGGACTTCCAGCGTGCCCAGGCCTGGCCCGTGTGTCTGCGCCGGCCCCAGTGTGAGTATCATCTGGACCTCCGAGGGGGCGCGGGGCTTGCGGGTAGCCAGAGGTTTGCTGCTCCCGCCAGTGTGGCTGGCTGCCATGGGAAGCACATGCAAAATGCCATTTAAGGGGAATCTCCCTCTGTGGCAGAGCCGGCCGGGCCTTCTTGGAAGACGGCAGCCGCGCAGCACGTGTCACCGCTTGCTGCCCGAGCGTCATAAATGTCACTTAGCAAGTGCCTTTCTGCCTTGCAGTCAGCCCCGATGGGCCGGGCAGAGCCGGGAGCCCCCCCCAGCCCCTGACCGCCGACAGCACAGACTGCAGTGTCTTCTCCCAGCTCTCTGAAGCCAGCTCAGCCCCGCCAAGCAGCACGCAGAAGTGGCTGCCGAATGGGAGCCCCAGAGAGATGGGGCTGGATGTTGCCTTTCCAGATACCACAGGGAGGCCCCGGAGCCAAGTGGAGCCTCCACCCACGTGGTTCTGCTTCTCCACCCGCCCGGACATGGGCGCCCGTGGCCAGCCGGCCTGGCCCCAGCCGCTGCTGTGCAGCACGCTACTCTCCACCAGCAGTGGGCCTCGGGGAGGGGCTTGGAGTCTCCCTGCAGCCCCCGAGGAAGAGCCGGCAGAGGCTGAGGACAGCTTGGCACAGCTTGGCACCCTCCAGCCCTGGCACTGCCCACACGGCATGCAGCGACTGGGACCCCGGGCAGCGCTGCATGCGGGGGAAGCCCTGTGGGATGAGACTGTGGTCGTCCACTCACCGCGGCAGCCTGGCAACACGCACCAAACGCCGGGCAGTGCCAGTCCCTGCGGGTCCCACAGCCTGCTTCCCTCCTGCAGCAGTCGGGATACAAGGGAACCCTGCCCCGTGCCCCACAGCCTGGCTCAGCTGGATGGCTTCCTCGATCCAGCCACAGGGGACTGGGAGGGGCTGGATGCCACGTCTCCCGACCACGCGTACCTCTTCTGCTGGGCGCACTCCACTGCCCTCCACGACCTGGACAAAACAGTGATGGTCCCTGCATCGCTGGAGAAAGCACCCGAGATTTCATCTGGGCCCTTGAAGAGCAGCAGCAGCCAGTACAGCAGCTGCGACAGCGAGTGCTACATCAGCACTGTGGAAGCATCCGACCCCGCGGAGGCCGGGAGAGACGGGCCTGCCAGCAAGGATGCATGGGGTACTGGCAGGAGCGTGTGGCAGTGCCCAGGCAAGCAGCTGGTGCTTGGCCCCCAGGGACAGAGCTTAAAAACGCCGGCTTTGGGGAGGGCTTTTGTGCAGGACGTGCCCCCCTCCTGGTTGCAGCTGGCAGAGGTGGCAGGAGGGAGTGCAGGGGATGTCTGCCAAGGTGCCCATTGCTTTGGACAAAGTGGTGGATTGAGGCCTGCTGGAAAGCCAGCCTTGGTACTCCATGCAGGCAGCACTGAGAACAGCCCGTCTCCCTGCTGTGTGGGGTCACAAAGTCCCACCCAGACACCACAGCACATAGAGCCTGTGGAGCATGGGCCTCGCCAGGGCAGCAACAGAGCCACAAGCCTCTCATTGCCTCGGGCATCGTGTTGCTTGGCCCCGGCTGATCTGGGCACTGAGGACTCTGGTCCGGGGAAAGCCCATCCGTCTGGGGACTGCAGGCTGGGTATGGTGGAATCGGCCACGCTGGGTCAGCTGGAGGGGAGGCAGCTATGCACACACCACAGCCCCGCTGCACGGGCAAGCCCCAGGTGTGGCCAGGGGAGAAGGGAAGGCCAGAGCCAGGCATGGGGTCTATCTGCAAGGGGCTCTGACCTGGGCATGGTGGACACAGTGCCCCTGAGCAGAGCCACGGCTGGCACAGCGGACACGGTGCCCCTGAGCAGAGCCACGGCCAGCACAGCGGACACGGTGCCCCTGAGCAGAGCCACGGCTGACACGGTGCTGCTGAGCAGAGCCACGGCCGGCACAGCGGACACGGTGCTGCTGAGCAGAGCCACGGCGGACACGGTGCCCCTGAGCAGAGCCACGGCCGGCACAGCGGACACGGTGCTGCTGAGCAGAGCCACGGTGGACACAGTGCCCCTGAGCAGAGCCACGGCCGGCACAGCGGACATGGTGCTGCTGAGCAGAGCCACGGCGGACACAGTGCCCCTGAGCAGATCCACAGCCGGCACAGCGGACACGGTGCTGCTGAGCAGAGCCACGGCGGACACGGTGCCCCTGAGCAGAGCCACGGCCGGCACAGCGGACACGGTGCCCCTGAGCAGAGCCACGGCCGGCACAGCAGACACGGTGCCCCTGAGCAGGGCTGGAGAAAGTATTGATGGGGAAGAAAGCGAAGCCACTGCCCTGCTGCTCCAGCACCTGGGCAGCCCTGACTCAGCTCCCAAAGGCACCTCCTTTGCCAACTCGACCAGGACGCCGAGGTCCTCTTCGTTACCACCGTGCCCGGCGCATTGCCACATCACACCCCGCACCAAGAGCCGCCTGAACGCCTCCACAGCACGTGGCAACAGCTCTTCCTCCTCCTCCTCCCTCTTTGACAAGACGCTGGAGCTGCCGCAGCGGCCCCAGAGAGTCAGGAGACCCCCGGAGACATCCCGCATGCCAGTCAGCCAGGCTGGGGGGCTCCTGGAGAGCACACGTGCCTCTCATTGGGAAGCAGCGGGGTCGGGCAGCCTGGATGAGACGGTAGTACTACTGCCAGCCACCAGCCTGCCAGCAGCATCTGGGCAGAGCACTGCCCCCAGTACCAGCCCCACGGCGCTGCAGAGCCCTGCTGGGGTCACCTGCCTCCACGCCCCCGAAACCACTGGTCTGCGCCCACCCAGAATGGAGCATCCCAGTACCGCCGGCCCCGCTAGCTCCTCTCCAGGCCCAGGAGAGAGTTCTTGGCTGACGGAGGAGGACTGCACTGAGTGCCCGGGGCTGGGGGCTCCCGTCAGGCCTCCCGCCACCATGACCTCCACTCAGGACTGGTTTGGCAGTGAGTTGGGCAGTGGGGAGCCCAGCCAGAGCCTGGCACAAGGGCTTGGTGGGCTGCAGCCAGGTGGGAAGAAGCCATTGTCACGCTCACGGGTGAGCTTCAGCAGGCTGTCTGCTGCAAGGCCTGCTTTGACACCGCCTGGCTCTGGGAGGCTCAGCCCAGTGCCAGACATGGGCGACCCGGGCATCCCACTCTCCCCCGGCGGGCGACCCGTGAGCCAGGGGGCCGGCGAGGCGGTGGAGTACCTCTACCTGGACGAGGAGAAGGGTCATGCCCTCATCGAGCGCCACGTCCCCCCCACGGACAACACCTCCTGTGCTGACACCAGCTCCGAGGACACCATCATCTACGACTGGAGGGCCTGCGCATCCCAGCGGGGTGCCAAGGAGAACCGGCTGGCGCCCACCTGCTCCGACGAGGCCTTGCTGCAGAAGCTGCGGAAGCTGGGGGCCGACCCGGGGCCGGTCACGGACTCGACGCGCAACCTGTACGTGCAGCAGCTCGACAGGCTGCAGAGCAGCCCCAGAGCCCGGGCCGGCAGGGGCGCGACAGGTGAGTGCCACCGCCTCGGAGGGCCCCAGGTTCTGGGGGAAGCTGCGATCACCTGCAGAGCAAACCAAAGCTCCCTCTTGCCCCAGTTATTGCTGAAGGGAAGAGCCCCAGGACTGCAGGCAGCCTCTGCCCCGGGGTGGACTCGGGTCAGACTAGATCACTTTGCCCCAGAAACTTCGGAGACGGCCGCTGCCTCTCCAGGGCTGGGCCAGGTGAAACCAGAGCAAGCCCCAGGGCACCTGCTCTTGTTCTGATGTAGTTCAGACTTATCTCGACCACTTTGAAGACAGCTGGGAGCGCTTTGCTTTGTGCAGCGGCCTGAAGGCAGCGCCCGGGCACGTGATCCAGCTACTGCAGTGCTTCTGGGAACGAGCCCGGGATGGCAACAACCCCAACAGGCGGGCACTGCACCCGCCGTAGAGGGCTCCCGCGGGCCCTGAGCTGCCAGTGAGCGCTGTATTTTCCTCCCCGTTCTTCCACGTTCTCTCTACCGGTGGGAACGGGGTGTCTTGTGCTGTTTCAGGACACAGCCCTGAGTTGTCGGCAGCACTGGAGACCCTGCAGATCCCCGACTGCCAGGCAGACGAGGTGGCACTGGCTGCCCAGTTCGACCAGCCCGACAAGGCCCGGAAGTGGCGGGAGGGCGTGCTCAAGTCCAGCTTCAACTACCTGCTCCTAGACCCCAGGTATGAGCATCCCGTGGCCACGCAGGGCCTGAAGCTCCCCTTCCCCCACCCCCGAGCTTGGCACTCACCGGCCTGCAGCCTCCGTGTCTGACCCGGCTTCACACTGCCCCGTCCCAGGATGGGAGTGGGGGTCCACCCAAGATCGTGACCTGGGAGGGGTAGGGGGGGGGCACGTGCACTGTCTCGATCAGGAAGATCCAGGTAGCACATGGAGCAAGGTGCCAGCCACAGCAGGTGTGCCCCGACTCATGTCCCCTGGGAAGTGGCAGTGTCCCCAGGCATGGCTGCATGACGAGGGGAGCTGGGGACAAACCGCGTGGAGCTGAGCAGGGGGTCCCTTGCAGGGTGACCCAGAACCTGCCCCTCCGCTGCCACGTGCTGAGCCCGGCCGAGTGCTTCCAGACCTTCGTCCGCGCCATCTTCTACGTGGGCAAGGGGAAGCGTGCGCGCCCCTACTGCCACCTCTACGAGGCCCTGGCGCACTACCGGGGAGGCAAGAAGCAGGTAGGGGGGTGGGGACAGACATAAAGCACTTGATATGGGGTTGGGGGCTACCTTGTGGTGGGGTGGGGCAGAGCCTGGCACCCCAAGCTGAGAGGGCGCATGGGGCTGACCTGCCTCGGGGCTTGTCCACTGCACTGCAGCCTGGGGCAGCTGCCAGAGGCTGCATCTCCCAGGATGGGGGTGTGGGGCATGTGCCAGTCCTGGGAGCTGGGCTGTGGGAGGGGGGGAAAACAATCAGGAACAGGCTGCCTAGCCCCTCCTCGGTAGGTGGTGAGAGTCGCCTGTGTGCCCCCCAGGCCTGCGCCAAGGTGCGGCACATCCTGGACATCTGGGCTGGCGGGCAGGGTGTGGTGTCGGTGCACTGCTTCCAGAACGTCATCCCCGTGGAGGCGTACACGCGGGAGGCCTGCATGGTGGATGCCCTCGGTAAGGCCCGGGGGAGGGGGGGTCCCACGCCAATCTGCTGACCCCGTCCTGGGGGAGCCGGCCTGCCCAAGCAGGGTCCTGCTGATGGGCGGGGGGTGCAGGCTGCGCGCCAGCCCCCTGCCGAGGCAGCCCTGCCCTGCCCTGTGATGCAGCCGGCGCGTTCCTCTCCCCACCGCAGGGCTGGCGATGCTCACGAACCAGAAGAGGGGCAACTGCTACGGCGTGGCGGCCGGCTGGCTCCCGCGGCGGCGCCGGCGCCTGGGCGTCCACCTGCTGCACCGGGCCCTGCAGATTTTCCTGGCCGAGGGGGAGCGGCAGCTGCGTCCTGCCGACATCCAGGTGGGGCAGTGAGGAGCCCCTGGCCACACGTACCCCACCCCATGTCCCCAGGGCAGCTGCAGCCCCAGGGAAGGGGACACATCCTGCTGCTAGGGCTGGGGGCACCAGTACGTGGGGCTGCTGCTTCCTGGAGGGCGGCATCAAGCTGCGCTTGGCCCCCAGACACAAAGGACCCCACAGCTGCTGTCCTGTCTGCAAGGGGCAGGTTTGAAGCATTAAGACATGAGCCTCTGCCCCGAGGCCCTGGGGTGCTCTGGAGATGGGCACGTCAGCAGGGCTCGGGCTAGCACTACTCTCTTCTGCACAATGGCCTGGGATGGCGGCTTTGTACTGGGCTGCTCCTTTTTTTTATGCATCTCCCGTGACCAGGGGATTTCTAAAACTGCAGTAAACCGCGGCCAGGCTGTCAGTGAGGACCCGGCGCTGTTTATTGGCAGGCAGCGAGCGGTGCCGGCCTGCCGGGCCGCTGTCCACCTGCCTCCTGAGGCTGGCGGCCATCGGGCCGAGCCTCTGCAACCTTGGACCAGGTGCCACTCCACATATAGGTGCCAGCAGGCCCTGGGCATGTGGACGGACCCCTCAGGGTGCTGTATCCTGCTTCCAGGCACCAAGGTGCAATGCCGAGACCTGTCCTGGGCAGGATGACGCTCCTCGGCGCCCCCCCCATCAGCCCCCAATGAGGTTGCATGCCAAGAGCTGTACAACAGCACAGTGCCGTGGCCACACACTCTGCCTTGCTGGGCAGCTCCGAGCACAGCTCAGATGCAGGCATGGGCAGGGCCGGTGGCGGGACTTGGGCTCAGGCGGACGTCCCAGGCTGTGCGGCGTGGAGGACTGGCCACCTCAGGGCAGCTGCAGGGAGATTGCAGCAGGGCTTCCAGGTACGAGCCGGGTGCTGGGAGCCAGCGGGAGGCTCCTCTGACCCATGGGAGGCCTGTTCCTGCCCCTGGGGAGACTGGTATTATCTCCAGGCATGGACCAGGACCCCCATCCTGCAGCCCAGCCCTTCCCTGCCCCTTCCAGACAGCCCAGGACAGAGGGTGGTGCACACAGGTCGCGTGGGCAGGCGCCAGGTGATTGTCTCTTGTGGTTATTATTATTCTGCAGTGATTTGCCCCAGCCCTTCCCGGCATGAATCACTCCCGGCGCCTCCGGGCAGAGACCTCCAGTGTCAACAGTGCCAGGACGCTGCCTCGCCGCTCTCCTGGGCCCTGCGGCAGCGAGCTAGACGGGGTCTCTGTCGGAGCCGCTGGCGTCTGGGGGTGATGGTGATCAGTGACGTGAGTGGGGGCGTTGCATCCTCGGTGCATGGCCTGGCTGACCTGGGGCAGGGGGGCTTCAAATCGGCTTCCTGGGAGTCTCCCCCATTGGTTACAAAAGGGGCTGGACAAGGGGTTCCTCACAGCCCCAGCCCCTGGCAGGGCCACGGGTGGACCATCCTACTCCCCAACCCCGAGCTCCAAGGCTGTTCCCAAGGTCGGACAGCATCTCCTTCCCCCGCCAGCCACAGCACCCATGCATGCTGCACCATCCGTCCTTGCACCCCTCCTGGGCAGGGGGGTGGGCTGCTGCTGTTGCCATCAGCTGTAGCCAGGAAAGGCTTCGCCGGCTGGGGAAGCCAATGCCCCCCAGGCTGGGGGCAGGCACCCGCTTCCCCGGCTGGAGGCAGCTCCAGGTGCGTGGGTGTTGTCCGCCTCTGGCCTGTGGGTGCAGGAGTTGAGACCCCCTTCCCTGTACTATTGCAGCACAGCGGGTCTGATCTCAGCCTCTGCAGCTGAAGGAGCCGCTGGGCTCCTCCATGCTGGGAGCAGGGCCCTGTGGCATGGTGGGGGGTGGGATGCTGCCAAGGAAGGGGATGGAGAGGCTCTGGGGTGCCTGCCCCCACCTCCAGGTCTGCTGGCTCCTCTGGCCTGTGCCCTCCAGGCCCTGCCCCTGCAGCCCCCATACCAGGGCCAAGCCAGATCTCCGTGTTCGTGCCAAGTCCCTCTGCTCCGGGTGGCCCCGCTCCCAGGCTGGCTCATTTCTTCTCCCCTCCTTTCCCTTCTGGGGCCGGCGTCTCGGGCTCCCAGAGCAGGAACTCGTGGAGCAGGGTGTTCACGGTCTCGGGACACTCCAGCATCACCATGTGGCTGCCCTCATCGATCACCTTCAGGAACGCGATCAGCAGGATCTGGGGAGCGGGAGACGGCACCGCGCAGCCGTGAGCCCGGGAGGCGCGGAGGGGGCCGCGCCAGCAGCTCCTGTGCTGAGCACCCAGATGGGGCTGCAGGGAGTGGGATGGGCCCTTTGATCCCACCCGGCCCCGGGTGAGGCAGCCAGGAGGGCAATGGGGCAGGTTGCAAGAGCCCTGGGGGCCTACCTCGGCCATGCGCTGGTCCTCCTCCACAGGGACAAACTTGTCGTGCATGCCGTGCACCAGCAGCACGGGCACGGTGAGCTCGGCGTGGTACACCTCGTCGCCCTCCGGCCAGTACTGCCCGCTCATCATGGCCCGCAGCACAAAGGACGAGACGTTGAAGGCATTGCCCTCCTTCAGCAGCTGCTTCTCTTTGGCACCCTGGCGTGCAAAGCCGGCCCTGTGGGGAGGGACAGGAGGGCGGGCAAAGCTCCAGCTGGGCAGTGGACCTAGGTCCACGGTCCTGCCTGGCCCCAACCCTGCCCAGGGTTGGGGGACCTGTTCATGCCCTGCCCCAGGGATGCTGTTCTCAACCCCCCAGGCAGGGAGGCAGCCTGCGGTCCTGGCATCTCTGCTCCTTCCCAGTGAAGGATGAGGCATCCGCGCCAGCCCCCACAGTAGTCCTCCCCACACTTGGGGACTCACTTGAGGAAGCTCCAGGCCAGGCAGGGGGACAGGCAGTGGAGGACACAGGTGGGCATGTTGAAGATGGAGCACAGGCTGGGCTCCAGCGCCGTGGGGCCCCCGCCGTTGATCATGATCACCTTGTGCACCAGGTCTGGGTACTCGTGTGCCAGGAAGGTGCAGAAGGACACGCTGCGGGGGAGAAGGAAGCACTGAGCCTGGTGCCGGGGGCATCAGGGCTCCCCCCAGGGTCGGGCCATTGCCAGGCATGCAGTGCTCAGACTCATGCAGATGCTCTTGGCGGGGCATGGAGCTGCTGTCACCCAGCACAGTGGGGCCAGCTCGCACAACTGTGATGCAATGCACTTGCTTGCATGGTGCCTCTTGCACCAGGACCCCTTGAGGGAGCAGCTCTGAGCCCATCTTCAGCCCTGATCCCCATCCTGCTCCCAGCTCAGCTGCCCCCCGGGGTCGCTGCAGTGTAACCTGCTCCTTTAAGAGCTCCCTTTCCTTCCCTCCCTGCTCAATCCTCACCTAATTGGCTTTCCCGGGTTTATGGCTATTTATAGCGGGTCCCCAGCCCTGGCATCCCTGTGCTCAGCCTTGCACCAGGGGTCACCAGCACGGCTGGGCACATCTCCGTGCCACCGGTCCTGAGGTCACAAGCCCAGGGGATGCTCAGAGCTGAGCATGGGCCCCAGAGGCTCTCCCCCAGGGCGGGGGACAAGCCCCTGGAGCTCCCAGCTCCAATCCCAGTAGGGTTGTCTGGGTCAGCTGGGGGGCACCCGTGGGTCTGGGGCTGGCTGGATGTACCCCAGCTGATGCTAATGCCCCCTGAGCAGCCAGGGCTTGGATGGGGGCTCTTCTGCCCCCACAGAGCTCCCTGCCCTCAGGGGGTTTCTGTTGCCCCCAGACCCCTCACACAGCTCAGGAATGACCCTCCAGGATGTGGGGACAGGCCAGGAGGTCAATCCAACCTGTGACCCCCATGGCCCCATCTAGTCAGGAAGCCGCAGTCCCCCTGGTTCCAGGGCTGGGCACGGTGACCTTGGGGCCCAGTCCCTCCAAACCACCCCTGTCCAGAGGGACCCTTACCCATAAGAGTGGCCGATGAGGATGTTCCTCTTCTTGGCGTAGCGCTTGAAGACGGCCCGCATGTCCTCGGCCAGGGCGTAGAAGGTGTAGGCAGCCGCTACCTGCGGCGCGGAGCTGCTGCCGTGCCCGGCTAGGTCGGGGGCCACCACCTCGTAGCCCAGCTTGGTGAAGAAGTCCAGCTGCTCCTTCCAGATGTGCAAGGACCCACCCACGCCGTGGATGAAGAAGAGCACGACGTCGCCCTGCGTCCCCTTGCAGCTGGTGATGCGCTTCTGGCAGTCGATGCTTACCACCTTCTTGGGCTTGCGCTTCCGGTGCCGGCCGGGGGCCACCGCCTCACGGGTAGGGGTGGGCACCGGGGCCTGGCCCGCAGCATTGGCCAGCTCCAGCTCCACGGTGCTGGCCGGCTCCACGGCACCATTGGGGCACTGCAGGATCTCGGCGCGCAGGGCATCGCCCAGGTTCTCGATGACCAGCTGCCCGTTGCGGTACACAGTGATCTTACGCTTGCAATGCACCGTGCCCCGCTCGGGCGCGGGGTCCTCAGGCACCGCTTCCTCTCTGGGCCGGGCTGGCAGGGCATGCTTCACCCGCAGCACCCGCCCTGGCTTCACCTCCACGAAGCTGAAGCCATCGCGGGACTTGACGCTGTCCAGGGGCCCCACCGCGCTGGTCGCCTTGCCCGTGAGGCAACACAGGATCCCATCGGCGATGCTGGTCAACATGCTGCTTCCTGCGGGGGGGAGGACAGCAGTTAGGGGGGCATGTGTGCCCGCTGCTGTCTATGCCCAGGTCCCCTCGCTCACTCTGGTTTGGCACCAGCTGCGGATCTGGCCCTGTCCAGGCCAGGGGGGCCATGCAGCAGCATGAGATGGGCACAGACCCCCCGTGGGCAGCTGCTCAGAGGCGGTGCATGTGGCTCCTCCAGTGCCAGCAGGGCCAAGCCCGGCCCTCATGTCCAGCAGCCTCCACCCCCACCCAGGACCCCCGAGTAGACTCAGCAGGCCCCATCCCGCTCCCAGAGACACTGGAGAGAAGACAGTGCCCAGCCCTGGCATCTCACAGCGCCCTGAGCTGGCAGCTTGGCCCTGCAGGAAATAAGGTCCCGGTGCCTGGATTGCGGATAGTGGCACCCTGCCCTTGCCCGGTGCCTGGGCACCCTGCAGATGCAGCCCTTGCCCAAGCAGGGGGAGAGGGGGAGGCTTCACAGCCAGGGCCCAGCATGGCAGACAGTCTGGTCTGCAGCCCCCCAAACCTGGGAAAGGAGGGGTGCATCTCCTGCAGTTGGAAACCCCCACTGAAGGGGTGGGCAGACAGCTCTCCCTGGGGCCGACCTTGGGTTTGGGATGAGCGGCCTAAGATGCACCACAGGGAAGGGCTGGGCATCAGCTGCAGCCAGGGAAGGGCTGAGCATGGAAGGAGAGGCTATCGTGACTCCCTGCGCCAGGCGCTGCCACAAAAGTGTCACCGTGGGCAAGGAAACACATAAGCGCTGCAAGACAGCGGGCACTGGAGACGGCCGGGTGCGGGGATGGAGGCCTGAGCTGTGCTTGCTCCGGAGTGGCATCCCCATGGACCTCAGCAGGATGTGGCAGAGTGGGGTTGCCCCCTTCACCGCCCTGCCACGGGGCACAGGGAGGTCTTCCCCTGCCAGCACTTTAGGGCAGGGGCCCCTTGGGCAGCATCTAGCACAGGAGCGCCCCGATCCGGACTGCAGCCCCTGGGCACGATGCTGGGGATTGAGCCGAGTGCAGGGGGCACTGCAAGGGTCCGTGGCCAGCAGCACACGCAGGGGCCATGTAGGCCATCTCGGGGTGGCTTTGCTGCCTCCGTGCAAACAGCAGGTCTCTACTGACAGTGGAGACTGAGCACTAGTGGACAAGCCCAACACAAAGCTCAAGCCTCCGGGGCTGCAGCTGGGCCTGGAAGAGCCAGGGCCCGGGAGGTGGGAGTCCCCCACAGGCAAGCAGAGCTCCAGGCCAGCTGTGGTCAGATCCTTGCACCGATGGGGGGTTGTGGGCTGGAGCCTCTGCACGGAGGGGAGTCCCATACCAGGGGCTGCTGTGTCCATCCCCCCTCCCCAAGGCATTGCCCCAGGAGATGGCTGGGGAAACTGAGGCAAGCAATGACGTAGCGGTAAGGGGCAGGGGCTGCACACAGCACCCCAGTTCACACTGGGCTGTCAGAGGTCTGCCATGGGAAGTGAGGGTGGGGGCAAATTGGGGCAGTCCTTTCAAATGAATGATAAGCTAAGCCTCCCCACCTGCAAGCAATGAGCTGCCTACAGGTGCTGGGCCCTGCGCCAGGCTCTGACCTACATAAAAGGCCGGCAGGCGCTGTACCTTGGCTGCAGATGCTGGGGGGGTTGCTGGGTTCTAGGGCACTGGTTATGGCAGGGACTGAAGTGCTGCTGCTTGATGCCAGGGAGAGAAAGGGGCAGTGGCTGGTGGAAAGGTGGAGAGCTGGAAAGAAAGGAGCTCTCCCGGCAGGCTGGGGTTGGGGGTGCTGCTTGTATAAGGGGGTCTTTGCAAGCTGGAGCTGCAGGGCAGGGAGATTCCCCTGCAGTGCAGCCTGGGCTCCACCTCTGGGGGCCTGGGTCAGACCTGACCCTGGCCCAGCTCCTCCAGGCCAGGCAGGCAGCAGCACCCGGCCTGATGCTGTCCTTGCAGGGGACCTGGGAAGGCTCCAGCTCCCCTGCAGGGAGGGAGCACCTCCATTACTGCTGGAGCCAAGGCTGGTGGATTATCGATGCTGATGGGCTGCAGGACAGGGTGCTCAGCCTGGTGGAGAGTGGGGCTGGACTGGGGGGGCTGCCTTGCTCTCCCTCCCCAGGGCAGTGCCCCTTGCAACCTGGCAGGTGGGGCTGGTGTGTTTCCAGGGGATCAGGCCTCCCCATCCCAGGGGTGCTGACTGGTGGCCCCGTGGGGTTACCAGGGCAGAGCTTGGACACAGCGGGGGGGTCGGAGCGGTCCCATCTGGGCATGGTGAATGTGGGGTCTCGCAGCTGGGAACTGGGTCTCCTCGCTTCTGCCGCTGCTTTGGGCAGGGAGCAGGGACGTGGCCCCAGGACTCCTGGGTCCTCCCCTGTGTGCTTATGCAGGCTGCGTATCCATGACCCACATCTTCCCCCTTGCTAGCCACACACTGAAAGTCTCCTGAAAGCTGTTCAAATGCACATGACCTGCAACTACTTTTGGGCAACCATCCCCTCCTTGTACTGATGCAAGGTCCTGGTACCACCACAGTGGCTCTGGCTGTGGGCAGCCTGCGAGCTGCATGTCTCTGCAGGGATTTTTTTTTTTTTTTTTTTTTTGTCCTGCCTATCAGCAGCTTAAATCCCAGGCAGCTGTCGGTGCCCAGTTGTTTTCCCAGCCCAGCCTGGCTGTGCCCTAGCAAAGCTAGGGGGAGTTATCCATGGGGCTCTGGGCAGCCCCTTTCCTTTGAGAGATGCCCCTGGTACATGGCAGTCACCAGGTCCCCCTTTCTGCCGGCCATGGCCTCCCTGCATGTTGCAGAGCTGCTCGCAAAGCCATGTGCACCTCGGCACCCAGGAGGTCTGTCCTGCTCCACAGCAACCCGACCACCAGACCCCCCAGCTAGAAGTGGGGACACCCTGGGAATCCCCTGCTCCGGTCCCCTCCCAGACCCAGGACCCTGCTCCCCGGGGCTGCGCTCGAGTCGCAGGATGAGACACCTTGAGCCAATGTGTGTGGCTGGAGAGGGGTAGAAGCAGGGAGGCAAAGGACAGGGCCCATATCCGCTCAGATCAGATGGGCCCAGAGCTGGGCTCTGCCTGTGACTGGAGCCCCCTGCCAGTGCTGTGGTCAGGCGGGGCTCATGCTGGGCCGGCCCTACAGCTCCCTTGTGTTCCCCCTGCAGAAACGCCTGCCAGGCCAGAGCTTGGTCCTTGGCCCAGGGATTAGCGCTGCTGCAAAGCCAGGAGTTGGCTCTGCTCGCCCCCTGCAAGGATGGGCTGAAAGGAGGCGGCAGGGCTGAAGAGGAGCCCACGCGGCGCGGCAGGGCCACGGTGCCCACGACCCCCTTGCTCCAAATGACGCCAAGCAACACGGGGCTGCAAGGCGGGACCCCCGGGCCATCCGGATGGGCAGCAAGGGCTTGGGCCAGGCCAGGGAGCATTGCAGGACTCCCCGGGGGACCTGAGCCCAGCGGGCGGGGGAAGGCTGACAGGCGCCAATGTAGGGCAAGGGAGAGCAGCTCTGCAGGGGACCGAGCTCCCGCAACGCGGCAGAGCCGGAGCCTGCGCCTGAGCCCCTTCCAACCCGGGGTGAAGGCGCCCGCGGCCTTTCCCTCCTTCCTGCAGTGGAGGGGGGGATCCATCAGAAAGCAGGAGGAAAAGACCCCCCAGGACCAGCCTGGTGCAGAGCAGCTGTGCCCAGCGGACATCCCTCAGCTTGGGGGGGCCCTGCTGGGCAGCTGCAACCAAAGGGGGGCAGAGCTTGGGGCATCTCCCCCACTGCTGCTTACGTAAGGCCGGGCGGGCAGCCCACCAGCCCTGCATCCCCCTCCTGGGGGGGCAGCCCTCCAGCCCCGCATCCCCCTCCCAGCCTGGGGCCGGCCCCGCTCACCTCATCAAGGGCTGTGGATGCCCAGAGCGAGCCCACACGGAGCTGAGGCTGGCCCGATCACATCGTCCGCAGGCACCGGCAGGAGGCTGCGCTCCCCACCCGCCCCCCGGCTCCCCATGAGCCGCCAGGCAGGCAGAGCAGGGCCCGGCTCCGGGGGGGGGCTCTGTGCCCTTGTCCACCGGAGCCACAGAAAAGCCCTTAGGTCCCTCCTAGTGAGGAGGGGTTTGGGATGACGGGCAGGGAGGCAGGAGCCCGGCTTTGCCGTGCCGAGTCTTGGCGGGGGAAGGAGGGAGGAGATGCCTGGACCAGCCCCTCCTGGCAGGGACCGAGACTCCAGGCCTGCACCTGCTGCAAAGCCTGGTCCTACCCCCCCAACCCCTGCATCTTATCTCGTGGGGCTGGGGGCCATCTTTGGGGAACCTCAGGTCTGGGATTCACCTGAATGCACCAGACCCTCTGTTTTCACTACGGAAAAGGATATTTCTAGCCTCGTTGCTGGGCGTGGAAATGGGGGGAGGCATGATACAATGCCCCCCTGGCACCCGGGTGGGAAAAACCCTTGTTAGCAGTGGGGGGGATTCTCGTGCCCTCCATACCAACACCACGAGATCTGGCAACACCAACACCAGAAGCAGGATACTGGGAACAGGCCCTATAGAAAGGTTGGACTGGAGACATGACAACGAAGATTTGCACCTGGCCGCGCTGCCTGCTTCATGCGGGGCCACGGCCGTGCAGCGGCTTCACCTTCCCTCCTGAAGCCCTGGCAGGGACTTGGCCCAAGCGCTCACAGCAGCTCATGGGAGGGCCGGGACTTAGGGGTTCTGCTCCCAGGGCCCCTGGCTGGCCATGACCTTGAGCATCATTTCCCCTTTGTGCTCTGCAAAATTAGGATCATGAGTCACCTCTCTGGGGCAAGGGGCAACCAGTTCCCAGGAGAAGGGGCTCGGGTGTCTCTTGGTAAAGCAGTGTTCTTGTGCGGGGCGGTCTGGATTAGATGGCCAGGCAGAAGACACAGGCACGCCTCAGTGCACCGGCAGGTCCCAGCACCAGATTTGATCACACTGCATTTATTGTCAAGGTGGCCCATCTTGCTGCACAATATAACCCTGGGGCATCTAAACTCAGGAGTAGCCATGAGGAATCAAAGGTCTGTGAGAGGAAGTAATTACTAGGCTGGCACTGCCCATTCTTTGCACCTAGTGGTTGCTTCTCCATAAACAGGTCCAGCTTCCACCTACGGGCCAGTGGTTTGCAGCAAATTGTTTGGTTATTTTCCAAGCCACATTAATGTCTCATTGTGTTTCAAGGACTTTCAAGCAAATGCGCTCAGCTTACAAGTAACAAAAGCATGCACTGTTTCTTGCCACCGATGCTGCATGTGCCTGTGGGGGCCCAAGAGGCTGGCTGGGGCCCGGTCTGCTTCCCACGCCATCCCCTGCGGCTCTGATCCAGAGGAAGGGGGTGCAGGCAGGGTTATGGCGGGACACAGAAAGTGCTTCCGCTTCTGCCCCAGAGAGATGGATACAGCTCTCATGCAGTCGTCCCTGCAAGGCCAAAGTCAGCAGATCCGGCTCTGAGACGTGGGCAGCAGATTTAGGGAGCAAGTAGGCACCATTTGCAAACACTCACTGTTCTGAGCTTTTCCCTTGGCAGGCAGGGAAAGCCCTTCTGCGGTTTTCTCCTGCTCCCATCGCCTTGTTCGATGAAGGACCAAATGCACCAAAAGGGCTGTAAGAGCTGCAGTGCACTGGATGACAGAGCCCTGGAAACAAGGCAAGGCTTTCAGAGACCCCCTTTTTTTTTACTAAACATTTGAGTGTTTCAACAGTCATTTATTTTTTGACCCAGATCTGCATCAGCTGCACTTGCTTGCACAGTGTCTCTTGAACCAGGACCCCTCGAGGGTGCAGCTCTCAGCCCCCATCCCGCTCCCAGCCCGCCCGCCTGCTCTACTCAGTGCCCTGGGGCCTTCACAGCACACATGAGACTGAATATGAAGCGCCTGTACTGCTAATTCATGTCTTCAAATCAGCTTACTCTGGAGAAGAAGTAAAAGAAAAGGATGAGCCACCCATGAGGAGGGCAGAGGGATCTCTAGCTACTGTACAGCTTGTGAAGCCATAGACAAATAGGACTGAAAGGGACCTCCACAGGTCATCTAGTCTAAAGTAATAATAATAATAATAATAATAATAATAATAATAATAGATGCTCTCCTGCTTCAACTCCCTGCATGGGGTTGCGAAGAGGATGGAGCTAGACTGGTCTCAGTGGAGGCAGATGACAGGACAAGGAGTAATGGGCTCAAGCTGCAGCAAGGGAGGTTTAAGTTGGATATTAGGAGAATATGAGGAGGGTGGTGAAACACTGGAACAAATCACCCAGAGAGGTTGTAGAGTCTCCATCCTTGGAGGTGTTTAAGACCCGGGTAGACAAAGCCCTGACTGGGATGATGTAGTTGGGGTGGGTCATGCTTTGAGCAGGGAGTTGGACCGGATGCGACCTCCTGAGGTCCCTTCAGCCCTCATTTTCAATGATTTTATGATACACATGACATTAGCATGTATCTGTGGAGGTCTCAGGGGAACCAGACTTGTGCACATTCCACCTCAAATGGGAAACAGCTTGCCAATGTCCAACCTCCTCTGCCTCTTTAGAGAAGCAGGTGGTGTCCTCTCCACTTGTGCAGGTGGGGAGCCGAGCCACGGAAAGACCAAAATGACTTGCCTAAGCCAGTGCCGGGCATCCTGGAGCACTGCCTCAGAGGCCACGGTCCTGTCCAAGTCTCTTTGCCCTTGGAAAACCCTGATTCTTCCCCTGGCTGGACAAAGGAGTGAAAAGCCCTGCTGCGTGGCTGCTCTGGGCAGATCTCCAGCAAGCGCACGACTGAGCGGCAACGCGAAGAGGTCTGGCCACGGGGAGGACGGCGTCTCCTCCAGCCCTACCCAGCCGCGGGCCCCGTGCCAGTGCACAACAGTTGCGTGCTGCATTCGGAGGGCGCAGCCTCGTGCTCGAGCAATCAGCTGCCCGGTGCCAGAGACAAACACCACGAGCAGCAGGAACGGCTGCCAGCAGGCACAAGGATGGAAATGCATTGGCATCTGTGCGGGGGTTCTTGCGTGCTTGGTTTTTCTAATAATTTGGGAGCTGTGCAGGGGGGCACGGAGGGTCTGAGCAGGGGGCAAGGCACTGGGAGCCTCCACCGTTCCCAGGACAGAGGTGGGACGAGAAGAAATTTGGGGTGGGGAGAAAGCAGCCTGTCCGCGGAGGGGCTGGCCCAGCCGGCACCCAGGAGAACCCGGGCTGCAAAACTTCATCCTCTGATCCCGGCCGACCCAAGGGGCGCCCGCGGGACCCGACCTCCGCTCCAGGTGCCCCACCCCGCAGCCACCGGGGACCAGGCCCCTGCTCCCACCCAGCGCAGTGGGGGGAAGAACCCAGGGGTCCTGTCCCCCTCCCCCCGTATCCCCAAATGAAGAACCCAGGAGCCCCGCCCCTACTCTGGAGCAGCCAAGGAACGACACGCGTGGAACTACAAGCCCCAGAAGCCTCCGCGCCGCGCGCGGCCGCCTCCCAGACACCCTTGCGCTCTCTAGCCCCGCGCGCCGTGATTAGTCGAGGGGGCGGGAGCCAATGAGCGCCGGCGTTGCTGGGGGGACACTGTAGTCCAGCCATGGCGGCTGCGTGGGTCCGCGGCCTGCGTCTCTGGCCGGGGCCCGCCGGCGGCAGGTAGGGCCTGGGACTGAGGCCTGGGCCCAGCCCCTGCCCTCGCAGCCCCTCACCGCCGGCTCTCTCCCCGCAGGTTCCCGCTGCTGCCTCCCGTCGGGGCCTGGGCCCCGCAGAGCCGGGCGGCCTCCATCCTGTGCTCCTGGAGGCCGGCGGGGCTCTGCCAGGGGCAGGCGCCCGGCTGGGGCCGCCCACCAGCACGCACCAAGGCGCGCGGCAACGAGTACCAGCCCAAGAACTTGAAGCGGAAGCGGACCCACGGCTGGATGAAGCGCATCCATGAGGCCAGTGGCATCAGGGTGATCCTGCGGCGCATGCTGAAGGGCAGGAAGTCACTGAGCCACTGAGGGACGGGCCAGCCCCAACCTCCACAGCGATCCGGGAAACGCGACAGGGACCCAAGGATGCTCGGCTCTGCGGCCAATCGGGGCACTGCTTCTTCTCCCACTCCCCCATGACTGACTTTGTCGAGCGGCTCAGTCTTATTCTCGAGGGTGAAGTCGCTCCGTCTTGCAAGCAGAGGGAGAAATTGTGAAACCAGATTTGTCATTAAAATGAATCAGTCTTCTGCCGTGGCTGCCTGCATTCGTTCTGCTCGGGCAGAAACCTGATTGATTCCCCTTTGTTCTCGGGGGTTGAGGAGAGCACTGTTTGGCTTGTCCTCTAGGGAGCTGTCGGGGCTGACTTCCAGGCGGCCCTGGTTCCCAGTCCCTCTAGCTGTCCAGTCCAGTCACTTGTCTTCGGGTTACTCATGAACAGGCCTAAAACAGGCATTTTAAGTTCTTCTTGGGTCAGCCTGGAGCCAGGTCCCGCAACTGAAGCTGCTGGGGTACGTCTTTGTAGCCGTTAGAGCTCTGGTGCAGTACGTGGGGCTCCACGGCACCTCGAGGTCAGCCCGGATCAATTCATTTATAGGGTCTGAGTCCAGGACTGAAGCTATGGTCCTCTCTGAGGCTTTGTTTCCATCCCAGTGGATAGTGTAGATAGATATATATTGCATACATAGATACATCTGTGTGTAAATATGTATAGTAGTGTAGATAGGTAGGTAAATATAGAGATATCGATAGATATATAGACTAGCTCTATATATCTATCAATTATATTGGCTAGATAGAGATATTTCCTCCTGCAGCTCTGCTAGAAAGAATTCCCTCTCAATGCTTAGAAAAGACTCCAATGTGAAGAGCACCCAAAAAAGCTTTCTTAACGTACATTAGCTTCTTGACTTGCTCTGTGCTGACGAAATTCAAGGCCCTGGCCTGTGCAAAGTCCATACATCACAGAAATGTTACTTGGTCCCTCAAACTGGGGCACAAGCGTCGGTCAGGTTTCCTATCCTTGGTGGGGCTTGCACTGCATTAATGAGGTTGTAGGGGTTTTAAGGACAGCATCAGCAGTCCGTATTTCAGGATCCTCAAAGGATATGGACACACACGCAGAACAGAGAATGCCTGCAAGGGTATAATATATTTTTTTAAATGCAAAGTAGATTTTTGTTCATTCCAGAAACTGAAATCTAATGAAATGTTTTCCTGGTGTCTTAGTGAAAATGCTTCTTGACTCTTTTTTTTTTTTAATGAGAATGCTTCCTTGGCATTTTGCAAGCTCAAGCACCTTGTCCTGAGAGGCATGAGAAGCAAACTGTGAGGCTGTGACAAGTGTGATTTCACTGTCCAAGTGTAGCGAAGTGTGAGAAGTAAATGAGACTTACTTGAGGGGGAGCTAAATGTTCAAATCTACTACAAGTACAGCAACAAGGGAAAATTCAAGCTTTTATTCAGAAAATTCCAGAAATTCAGATTTCTTCTGCTACGGCTGTTCAGTCAGGGGAAGAGTAATACAGGAGGGTTTAGGATCACATGTTATCCACTGACGTGCAGAAATCCAGCTTTGTGGTTGCTACTTTTTTTATGTCCTCTTAAATTGGGTTGAAAATTTGCTCCTGTTTCAAAGAGCCAGGGCGAACTTGGAGCACAATGTGGGACATAGAGCCGGACCTCACTGAAGTCTCAGTAAGTGTCTTCATCTCTTCCTAAGGGAAATCTAACAATATGGTGTCCCAGTGTACAAGCTCTTGTGGGTAGTGGAGCAGCTGGCTGAGCTGAGTGAGGATGTTTATAGCGAGTGACTTAAGCCTTTTGCTATCTGGAGAAGCAGCCCCAAACTCATTCTGTTTAAAGATATGTAGCTGTGTACAGCTGGAGACATGTAGGCAGAATGCAATTCATAAATAAAACGATTGCCCTCTTCCCTGATGAGGTAGCCCCCATCAGCTGTGCTCAAAACACACTTTAATATTGAACGGCAAGCTGAGATTGGATGGTTGGGACAGGTGTATGGTGCCTTTTGCATTCCAGGCTTCTGACTTTTCTAGGCAGTGGCTGCTAATTGCACATGCTATTTCAGAGCTTTGTAGCATACAGAAAATGCCTGCATATGGACCTGCTGCTCTGTAGGATTATAGAAAATGAGGGTTGAAGGGACCTCAGGAGGTCACATCTCATCCAACCCCCCGCTCAAAGCAGGACCAGCCCCAACTATATCATCCCAACCAAGGGCAGAATACATTTTTTTTAAATGCAAAGTAGAAAGCACTTTGCTAATAATCTGTCACTGGGGTTGTGAGCCTTAGATAAGCATCATTCTTTGTTCTCTGATGGGGAACCCTGGGCCTCATTGATTTTTTTGTTTTGTTTAAGGAGAGCTGAGGAGTTCCAGTTCCTGTTCACTTCAAAGGAAATTCAGGTGTTCAGCATTTTATGCAAGGGCGCAGCTGAAATCGGCATGAGAACTTGGCAGTGCCTTGATCTCTGGGACTGTGTGAATATACTGTAGTACCTGACTTGAGATGCTTTGCTGCCATGCCAGCAGAGCACCGTTGCAGCTGTGTGTTTAACATGTCATACAGAGTTGTAACACATGGGGCAACTTCCAGCTGAGAAGTTAGCAAACCACCTTCCAACTCAGCCAGACAGAGAGTTAGAAAAAGGGCTGGTGAGGGGGGATCTCAGCTTCTGCCTGTTTCCAGCTCCTACCTTCTGGGCTTGCTTCCCCAAAAGATCTTTATATAGAGTTTGGAGAACCTAAACCTGGAAGAGATTGAGAGGACCGTGTCAGGATCCCTTCCAGCCAACCGGATTGTTCCTGCTACCCTCTAGGACCAGGCTCCGGCAGTCCTACCCTTAAATACTTCAGTTTATGGAATCTTAACTGTTTCTCCCCCTGAGCAAACTTTGAAGACAATATAATGGGTTACTCATTCTTGGGAGTTTTCCTCAACTTTGAGTCTAGCATCCTTATGGGTCCTGGTTTTACATGAGTGAGGCAACAACAGCTGCAATTTGTGTTACAGTTCTCTGTTAGCTGCTTCAGAAGTCCGACCATCCTACCTTACACTGCCCTTCGTGGTAACTTCTAGGGTACAGACTAGCTCCTAGGAAGTTTCTGTCTCTACTCATCCTTCCTTGCTTTCAAAATTAACCTGAAAGTCTTTTAACGCTGGCTTCTCTGTGGAATGCAATTCATCTGAAAATGTGGGTCATTTTGGACCCTGTGAAAGGGGCATACTGGTCTTGCCCTTGTCCTGAGTGATTGCACCCCTCAGCAGTATTGCATGACACCTGAAGCCAGAGCAGGAAGAATGTTTTATTGGACACTGACTACTGAAGTGATCCCATTAGCTGCAAATTCTGCATAGGTAGAGACTATAAAATTAGCTTTTCAAAACTGGTTATGGGGTATCACAGTCCAGATTGTCCCGTCGCCCCCACCCCCATCTTGTATTCAGAGCAGCAAGCTCTAATGTCTTCTCTGTCACTCATCTGCTTTCCATTTAATGTCATTCTTGTCCTACTGCACGGTTGTTTGGTGCAGGGCCCTGCCTCAGGCCGTGCCTGCGTTGTGACCTGATAACACATTCTGGAAACGCCGTGAACAACTTGCTTCACTTACTAACAAACAGTGACTCACTAATAGATTATTCTTGACTTCTGGCACTGCCAGCTGGTCTGTTGGTCCACCCCTGCTCTGCTGGGTGGGGCTGCAGGCCCAGGGCTTTGCCTGTACAGCAGCTTATGGTATAAATGGGAAAGAGAAGAGCAGGCTTGCTCCTCTGTCCGTGGGGCTGGTAAGCAAGGACACGTGGATGCCAGTGCCTGTGGAAGAGCTGTTGCTACGTTTTAATAGGTGGAGTCTCAGAAGTTGGCTGGATCAGGGGTGCTGGTTGTAGCCGTGTTGGTCTAAGAATATAGATTCATAGATTTTTGGGGCTGGAGAGGACATTACAAGATTTCATAGACATTAGGGCTGGAAGGGACCTCGTAAGATCATCGGGTCCAGCCCCCCTGCCCAAAGATCATCGGGTCCAGCTCGCCTGGGTTGGGTAAATGTTCTTTGGGTAAATGTGATATCTTTTATTAGACCAGTTAAATAATTGGAAAAATTGTTCTTTGCAAGCTTTTGGGTACAAACACCCTTCTTCAGGCAGAGGGAGAGTTTGGGAGTGATTGCAAACTGCAGCCAGGATGACCTGCTGCTCCATAGTATCATAGAAAATGAGGGTGTAAGGGACCTCAGGAGGTCATATCTCATTCAACCCCCTGCTCCAAGCAGGACCATGCCTAACTATATCATCCCAGCCAAGGCTTGGTCTAGCTGGGGCTTAAACATCTCCAAGGATGGAGATCCCACCACCTGTCTGGGCAACCTGTTCTGGCGCTTTACCCTCCTCGTGAGACGTTTTTCTAATATAGAAAATGAGGGTTGGTAGGGACCTCAGGAGGTCACCTCTTTGGGCAGACTGTTCCAGTGCTTTACTACCCTCCCAGCGAGAGTTTTTCCCAATATCATAGAAAAAGAGGGTGGGAAGGGACCTCAGGAGGTCACATCTAGTCCAGCCTCCTGCTCCCCCTACTACATCATCCCAGCTAGGATGCCCACTGGTACCCAGCTGCTTGGGCAGAAGCTGCTTATACCTTCCCCCTTGCAGGGACTACATCTCCCATGGCGGACCGCGGCCTCACGTCCATCCGGGTCCTCTCCCCGGCAGGGCGGGCCTTTCCCGCTTCAACCTACCCCGCTGCCTATCGGGGCAGCGCGGAGCGACGGGCTCGCCACCCAATCGCCGCGCCGTTCCTCCCAGCCGCGCCCAATAGCCCGCCGAGGGCTGGGGCAGCGGGGCGGGGCTTGCGGGAGGGAAGCAGGTTGCGTTGAGGAGCAGGGGTAGGAGTCGCGGGGCGGCCAGGCCGAGGCGGCAGCAGGGAAGATGGTAGGTGCCCCCCCCCCCAAAATGCCGGCCCCCGGGG